CTCTTATTGGATCTGCGTGCGTATGGAAGAACCAGGACTTCTCTGTATTTTGAAAGCTCGGGTGCGTAGAGTTGCGTGGGGTGGAAGTTATATGCTGGAAGAATTGCATGCATGTGTATCATTTTTGCCTTCAAAGTTGTTAAGGGTGTCACACACCCTTCAAGGTGAAAGAAGTCTCAAGGATAAGTGGGCGAGCGGTGTCCTTAAGGTTGACGGAGATCCAAGTGAGACTAAGAGCTCTCAAAAGTGGCTCTAGCGGTCCTTGCTTTGTGCACACGGTAGAATTGCTCTTTGATTTGTGGTCACGGGCATTTTCTACAAGGCATGTCATTTCTGGGCTTTTCAATTTCAGTCTGGCTTTGAAACCTTTCATCAAAGCGTGGCACCCCATTTCCAATTTCTTCATACCAGGCTGGCCTGTCTGCACATCTTTTTTTCCTTTCCTGGCTCCATCTTGGTGAATCGACCACTTGTATTCCTTTACCCGTCTTTTCTTTTACAAGCCCTGGCACTCACAGCAAAGTCCACGTGCCCTGGGTGTCCAGAGAGTAGCAGAGAATTGAAGTTCATGTTTGGATTCCCCTCTGTGGAATTTCCCCCTCCTCCTGTGTTTCCAGTCCCTTCTAATCCTGATGCCCAGTATACTGATAGTTTGTTAAAAATTCCAAAGTTAGTTCTTCCCCAGTGTGTTGTTGGGCTTGCCAAAGAAGTAAGTCCCAGATGTCTGTTCTCAAGAAATATACAATTCAGTGAGAATTAGGCAACATTAGGGCTTCCATAAAGTTTTCCCAGGACACACTTTGTTCCCTGGACCCCCTCTCCAATGTGCCCTTAAACCTCAGCGTGTTTGTTTGAATTCATTTGAGTTTCCCCCCTGACAAAGATTCTCCTCACTGAGGAATGGAATTAAAACCACACACACGTACCAATTGTATACACTTAAAAACTATCCAAACACCCAGCAACAGTTATGAGGTTGCTTCTAAACCGGCAGAGACTTTCATGTTTCATAAAGTTGTGTTCCGTGCAAAGAAAGCTTTGTCTTTCGTAACTGCTTGTCTTTAGGAACCTGCCTGTCTAGAAGGGGGGCCTCTGAGTATTGTTTGCTACAAACAAATAGCTTCTAACGCTTCTGCAAACCCTTTTGGCAGGAGCATAGAACCCATAATCCAGGGATTAAGAGCTAGCATTGTGGCCTGGGATTTGGTGAGTTATAGCTAGATCTACCTAGGACCAAAAAAATAAGTTGGGTAGTAAATCATTAGGGATTGTTTTTCCAACAGACTAGGTGATTGAGGGTTATGTCTTGTTTTAGGGAGGCCATTCTACTTATTAAGATACTGTATTAAAGCAAGTGTCCTTGAATATCATAGTTTTTCTTTTAGCTTTTTCAATTAATTATTTAATACCGGTTACAATCAAGTCACGGTTCTGGATCTCCTTTTACTCCTGTGTGTGTTTTTTTTTTTTCTTTAATTTTCAGTTTTAAACTATTTTTTAGAATTTGGTAATGTGTGCGCGTTGTACAATAGGTTATACGTTGAAAAATAACTCTTCCTCCCCTCTCCTTGCCTCAGCCCCTGATCCTCCTCAGACTCTGTACCAGTTTCTTATGCCTTCTCCCAGAGCCCGTCCATGTATATACAAGTAGCTATGGGGATAATACTCCTTTGCTCACAAATAGGGCTAGCATGCTATGATAGAACGAACTTTGGTGACTCTCCCAACGAACTACAGCTCCTTGTATTTAAGCCCTTATATAATTCCTTCCCGTACTGACTGAGCTTGGCCATGTGCCTGGCTGTGGCCAATGGTGAATTAGCAAATGTGATGCGAGCAGAGGCTTGGTAAGCGCTTGCATACTGGGACTTGTTCTCTGGGAATGTTCACTATTGTGACACTCCCTCTCGGAACCCAGAAACCACCAGCTGTGAGATACCCAGCCTAGCCACGTGGAGAGGCTCCATGGAAGAGAACTGAGGTCTCTGCTAACAGCTTCCAGACAGTCACCGACATCAACCTGCCAGCCATGTCGCGGACAAACCATCTTCTTGGAAGTGGAACCTCCAGTCTCACTGAGGCCGCCCCAGACGATGCCATGAGGAGCAGACAAGCCTTCCCCGCTGAGCCCTGTCCAAATTGAAAAACTGTGAGCTATCTCTCTGAGCCACTAGATTTGGTTTGTCAGGCAGCAACAGATAACTAAAACACTGTATTCACCGTAAATTCTGTGTCTTGCTTTTGTTCACTGAATGATATATTTGCTATTTCAGTATATTTAGAGCTGCCTCATTCCTTTTTTAAGAGCTGGAAAGCATTCCTCTGTATAACTGTGCAATAATTTAGTTAATTGGCCTCTTATTGATGGGCATTTATGTTTCCGGTTCTTTGCAGCGTTTAATATCTTTGTTGCATGCTTGCTTTTATACGTGAACAAATATATTTATTGAGTAAATTCGTAGAGATAGAGTTGTTGGGCCAAAGAATATTTGGATTTGTCATTTTCATACGTAGTGCCAAGTTGCCCTCATGAGAGGTGATGCCCCCACCAGCTCTAGGGACTGCGTGGATGGTGCCAGCCTGAGTGGTGAGAAGGGCCACCGTGCTATTGGAGTGTTACATTTCTTCCTTACTATTGTTTCTGCAGATGTTGAAAAGGCGTTTGCATTTCCTGTTTGATGGACTGCCTCTTTTCTGTTGGATTGTTGGCCTTTTTCTTTTTAGAAGGAGCTCTTTACATTTTAACAAAATTAGCTCTTGCTTAGTATGGAGCAAATCTTTCTCCCCCCCCCCCCCCCCCGGTTTCTCATTTATCATTTTCCTTGGTCAGAGCCATATTTTCTCTTATTGTGGTTAGATTTATCAGTCTTCTCTAGCTTTTGGATTTTCTTGTTTTTCTGTTTCTTTTCTTGTATTTAGACTTGCCCTTGCCTGAGATTGTAATGGGTATTTTCCTATGTTTTCTTGTATTATTACTATCTGAGGTCTCAGAAATATCTCTTGGTGTATAGGTCCCAAATTGTGTTTTTCCCAGTTATCCACTTAATACCGTTGTGCTATGTCATCCTTATCGTATAGTGCACTTCTGTACCACAGGTAATTTGATTTGTACCACAGGTAATTTCAGTATATTTATTGAATGCAATGAACGCTTGAGTGGCTATCCCGTAAATTACTTGTTTACTTTTTTTTTCTCTACTATTTTAGGGAATACTACAGTGAATGCTGTTAAAACAGTTCTTTATAATTATTAATCCCAGACTAGCTTCGGATTTCCTTTGTGGATGTACAAATGAACATTTATAGTCTGCTTTAGAAGTTATTTAAACTTTCAGGGCACCTGGGTGGCTCTGTTGGTTAAGCATCAGACTCTAGATTTGGGCTCCGGTCATGATCTCGTTCGTTGTGGGCTGTGGCCCCGCATCGGCCTCTGCACTGACAGTGTGGAGCCTGCTTGGGATTCTCTCTTTCCCTTTCTTTCTGCCCCTCCCCAACTTCTGCTTTCTCTTGCTCTCAAAATAAATAAATAAACTTTAAAAAAAAAGGTTAAGGTTTTGTTAAGGTTCTCAAAAAGCTGAAGTTGGAAAGATAGGCATTTTATTTTATGCACAGGGTTACGGAGAAGGTCAATCCATGTAATGGAGATTCATCTGAAGATCTAAGTAGGATTGTGTAAGCACAGAGACTGACATGCTTTTTTGTCACATACCATAATATGTAAAGGCCTGTTCCCGAATTTCTGAAGCATGGAATAGTACTGGTATAAAAACTGCATCTAATTAGGAGAGTGGTGAGCCTGGGACCCTGTGAAAGGAGGATTTGGTTTTGTGAGTGGAATAGGTGAAGCCACATCATTATGAGAAGTCAGGAAATTATGTGTATATACTCTGGTACATTAAGAAGATGGGTCCACTTAATTTGGTAAAACACTTTTAATTTTAGGTAGCGACCACAACTGTCCTGAACACCCAGGAGGGCAGTGACGCTCAGTGGAGGCAGAACAGAGAAGTTCCCCCAGCTCTTGGCCTCCTGCCCCTCTTGGCCCAGCCACTCGTGCTCATTTCCCTGGCTCGAGGAGCATACCGCCAGGCCTTTTTCCCCAGGCATGTGGTCTGACCCCACGGGGCCTCGGAGGTCGGCATTCAGAGCAGGTGCCCTACGGTTGTTGAATTTAACCCCTGCTGAGAGAATGACAGGGACACCCCTAGAAGGAGATACAGAAGTCAGGTGTTGCCTATTCTGTGTATGTGCATTGCAGCAGCACCCCCAGCATTTGAGCTCAAAGGACCACGTTCTGCAGGGAGATTTCAGGTATCAGCCAGAGGTGAGGGGGGCTCTGCTGAGAGCCTCCGCCCTCCCGTTGTGGGCCACTGTGCTGTCTGCCTCTGCTGGGGGCCTGCCACGCTCATTCTGTGCACGTGAGCTGCATCACACTCCCCTCCTTCCCTGTAGAGACCTCCACGTCTTCGAGGTAAGGAAAACAAGGTGGGCAGTTGACTTCTAGGTTCAGAGTCACAGAATGTTCAAGCTAAAAGAAACCCACTGGAACCATTTCATTTGATAAATAATGTTTTTATATCTTCCTTTCCCTGCATTTAATGTTGTTATACTCTCAGGATGTTTTGACACCAGTGGCACTGTTTTCCATTTTCTCAGTGCCAGACAAGCTGGGATATTTTAGCAAATATTAAGCTTTTTTAAAAAAAATATTTATCTTTGAGAGAGAGAGAGAGAGAGAGAGAGAGAGAGAGAGTGTGTGTGTGTGTGTGTGTGTGTGTGTGTGTGTGTGTGTGAGTGGGGGAGGGGCAGAGGGAGAGAGAGAATCCCAACCAGGCTTCCCACTGTCAGCACAAGCCCGACGCAGGTCTAGATCTCACAAACCCGGGAGATCATGACCTGAGCCAAAATCAAGAGTCTGACGCTTAACTGACTGACCCACCCAGATGCCCCACAAATATTTAGTTTTAAGGATGAAAAAGTGTTATTTCTTTTCCTTTTAGATCCTGTCTAAACATTCTTTGCCCGCTCGTGTCTGGGAGCCAGCAATGCAGCAGAAGCAGAGTTTCGCCTTTGACAATGTTGGCTACGAAGGTGGTCTGGACAGCGTGTGCCCCTCTCAGACGACCACCGGCACCATCAGCATTTCGGGCATGACTTGCCAGTCGTGTGTAAAGTCTATCGAGGGCAGGATTTCGAGTTTGAAAGGCATCGTGAGCATTAAGGTTTCCCTGGAACAAGGCAGCGCGACTGTGATCTATGTGCCGTCGGTCCTGAGCCTGCCGCAGGTTTGCCGTCACGTCGAGGACATGGGCTTCGAGGCCAGCATCACAGAAGGAAAGGCCGCCTCCTGGCCCTCGAGATCCTCGTCTGCCCTGGAGGCCACGGTCAAGCTCCGGGTGGAGGGCATGACCTGCCAGTCCTGTGTCAGCTCCATCGAAGGCAGGCTGGGGAAGCTGCAAGGGGTAGTGAGGGCCCGAGTCTCCCTTGGCACCCAGGAGGCAGTCATTACTTACCAGCCTTATCTCATTCAGCCCCAAGACCTCAGGGACCACGTAAACGACATGGGATTTGAAGCTGTCATCAAGAACAGAGTGGCACCCGTAAGCCTGGGACCAATTGATATTGGGCGGTTACAGAGGACCAACCCAAAGACCCCTTTGACGTCTGGTACCCAGAATCTCAATAACTCTGAGACCTTGGGGCACCAAGGGAGCCGTGTGGTCACCCTGCAACTGAGAGTAGATGGAATGCACTGTAAATCTTGTGTCCTGAATATTGAAGAAAATATAGGCCAACTCCCAGGGGTTCAAAGTATTCAAGTGTCCTTGGAGAACAGAATTGCCCAAGTACAGTTTGACCCTTCTCTTGTCACCCCCGAGGCCCTGCAGAGGGCCATTGAGGCTCTTCCTCCTGGGAACTTTCAAGTTTCTCTTCCTGATGGAGCAGCGGGGAGTGGCACCGATAACAGGCCTTCCACGCATCTCGCCTCCGCCCCCGCCCCCGCCCCCGCCCCTGCCCAGGGAACCCGGATGCAGGGCCTGTGCAGTACCGTGGTGCTTGCCATTGGTGGCATGACCTGTGCGTCCTGCGTCCAGTCCATTGAAGGCCTGCTCTCCCGCAGGGAAGGGGTGCGGCGAGTATCAGTCTCACTGACTGAAGGGACTGGAGTGGTGCTCTATGATCCCTCTGTAATTAACCCGGAAGGACTCCGAGCTGCTGTTGAAGAAATGGGATTCAAGGCGTCAGTCGTTTCTGGTACGTAGTTGGCCCACGTGAAGCACACCCTGGGGTCCTCTCCTTTCTCCTTGCATCTTAGGACATAGTGACAGCGGCCACACTCACTGCTCACTGGCCAATGTTGGTGACAACATTCTGCAACTTTTCCTTGCGTGTCAAGTGTATCAGGATAGAAGAAGTAGAATTTCTGGGTGTATAGCCTTTGCCTCTCGTGTAGCTGGGAATAAAATGCTAAGTTCTTTGCATTTTTCTGAAGAGAACTCTGACTCTGTGTTCTTTTTAAAAAAGAGTCCTGTGGGGCCAGGGGGAACATCAGGCTCTTCTGTCTCCAGAAGAACCATCATCACACTCTCTGAGATTTCTCTGCCCAACGAAACAATAAAAACAGAACCATAGTCTCACCTGGATCCCATTCTGTTGAAAGTGGGAATTGAGGGGATTCAGTGATGACTGCCCTTGCCCTCCTTGATGGCTGTGGGTAGAGGGGTGCATTTCTGCCGGGCGCCCGGGCCTGGGAGTGGTGGGCTGGTGAGCGAGTGAGACTCTCCTGAGAGCTTATGTTGTAGCCCCGTGTGAGCCGGTGAGCTCCAGGATGGGACGGGGATGCTGGAGGCCAGGAGGCAGTGCAGTGTGCTGGGGTTGCTGACAGGAGCCCGAGCAAGCGTGAGGACTCAGGAAGGTGGAGAGACGGGCGGGACAGCAGGGGGGCCACTCTGAATGGGTCTGAGTGTCAGCTGAACTTGGACTTGACTGTAAAGGCCAGGGGGGTCAGCAGTGGATTTTTTTTTAAGTTTATTTACTTCTTTTGAGAGAGAGAGAGAGAGAGAGAGCAGGTGAGGGGCAGAGAGAAAGGGAGAGAGAGAATCCCAAGCAGGCTATGTGCTGACACTTGGGGCTGATCTCATGAACTGTGAGCGTGTGACCTGAGCCAAAATCAAGAATCGGATGCTTACCCGACCTCGCCACCCAGGCAGTGGATTTTAATCAGAGGAAGCGCAGGTGAGTTTGCACTTGAGCTGGCCAGTCGGTGTCAGTGTAGTGTGGATGGAGGCACGGAGGCTGTGTGGGAGGCTGGGTGAGAGGAAGTGGGGCTGGAGGTCAAGAGACGGAATAGGACGACATTCAGGAGGTTGGGTCCAGCAAGCTTGGTCCAGAGGAGGGGTGTGATGGGGCAGGCCGTGGAGGAAAGGGAGAGCCGGCGGGGAGCCCTAGGTGTGCAGTTGCCAGAGGCCAGCTTGAATTCCTGGAGAGTGGGGCTGGAAATGCAGATTGGAGTGGCAGGAGCCAGGGGAAGTGACGGAAGACCAGGGAAAGCGAGCATGACCGGGGAAAGGCAGAGGGAGGAACGTGATGGCACTGGTGTGGAAGGAAGGGGTGTCCGGAGGAAGAAATTGTCACAGACAGGGACGGCACCCTGGAAAGAAAGGAAGCCGTTTCAGGGGCCTCAGGCTCCGTGCAACTAGGAGGTGGGGGAGGCTCCGGTGAGCCCAGCTGCATGGTGGAGCCGCAGACCTCCAGGAGCCGAGCCAAGCGGCGGTGGAGAGGTGATGGATAGGTGTGGGGGGGTTCAGAGCCAGGCCAGAGATGAGGAAGCGCGGGACATGCCACAGCCAGCTGTGTGGGCAGCAAGGTTTTAACCGTTTGGGTCCCAAGGTACTGGCCTCCTGGGGGGTTGAGAGTTGCAGGCTAGACCAGGACAATACAGTGCCAGCTGCGGGCACTCAGACTGCGCTGCAGGGCGGTGGCCAGCCCGGCACCAGGAGGGGCTCGTGGGCAAAGCCCCCCGGCCGCGCCCAGGGCCAGCTGGACTGGGCCTTCCCACATGTACTTTGCAGCGGCCGCTGAGATAAAGTGCGTCTCCTTGGAAAGGTCCCCTGTCAGTGGGGCTGGCCTGCACTTACACCCTTAAAGGCAGTGGGTAAGTCATGTGGAATCACTCGGCCCCGTTCTGTACTTTGTCTTTTGTACCACGTTTCAGGAAGGAGTTTGTTTTTAAACAAAAATCAGTAAGGAACACACAATGGAACAGTAAATCCTGTACTTAAATGGTAGGAAATGTAGTACAGAGTCATCATCTGCTCTATTTGTATGAGGTTTCAAGTCTTTAAACAGTAGAGTCAGGTTGTTGGCAGTAAAAAGAAATTTGCATTGAACTGCATAATCCAGAATAATTGGATTTGACCAAGTAAGCCTAGAAAGAAAAGAACAGTGATTTTTATTGGACAGAATTATGTGTTTAGCCCAAGAGGTATTTAGTGTACCAGATTTAGCAAATAAAATATAGGACACTTAGTTCAATTTGAATTTCAGATCAACAGTGACTAATGTTTTGGTATAAGTATGTCCCAGGCAACATTTGGGGCACGCTTATACTAAGAAAGTATTTGTTGTTTATCTGAAATTCACATGTAGCTGGGCGTCTTGTATTTCACCTGGCAGTCTTAATTTAGGATAAACCGTAAGTGTGCCGTTAACTATCATTGTAGCCCCTTAGATATTAGAAAAGAATTACGTGTATTTGATTGGTCATTCTGGATTGACCAGGAAGAGGGGCTTCTTGAGCACAGTCTTCAAACCAGCTGATTTGTTTCTCCTTGGACTCAGCAGCACCCAGCACATAGTAGGTATTTGTGAAGGAAGCGAAAGAGAAAGAAAATAACAGGCTGTGACAAGCCGGCTCGTGGGGTAGCTCAGTGATGGGATTTAATCCAGGAGCTACTCAGACATGTTAGAGAGCCGAATAACCAAACCAGGGAATGGGAAGGAAACCCAAGAGATGGCTGGTAGCAGAAGCTGGCACCCCAGGCAGGAGGGTGCCACCGGAGCCCAGGGGCTGAGGTCGCCTGGTGGGAGCTGGCTCACTACTGGAGCTACTAAGGGAGAGGCCGTGGCCAGGAGCTGGGCTCCTAGTAGGTAGATGGGAAACACATTAGGTTTCCCCCATTTCTGTCCTGTTTCCCACTTGCTACCTCCAGTGTACCAAATTTAACCAGAAACCAGTTGACAAGGGAGCCTGGAAAAGTGGTTTTGCAGGGTCAGCCCCCTTGATAATGGAACAGGGAGAGGAAGGGGAATGATCAAGAGCATGTAGGCAAGTGGCAGGCACTGAATTTCAGTCAGCTTATTTGACAGCTAAAAATACATTAAGATCTGTTTTTTATCTAGAAATCAGCTCTGCATTTGTGGACTGGTTTGCCTGGTAAATATTTTTTGTATGAATGAATTAATGGATAGGTGATTGGATATATGAATACAGTGTGAGGAAAAGTCATCTATCATGTATGACATGTTCCCCTCAGCCTTGTAAATGGATAATGTCACTTCTGGGGCACTGTTCCCTCATCCCAGCACGTACTGAGGGTCTTCTGGGCCCCAGGCACTGTGCTGGCCGCCGTGAGTACTCGGAGTCCATCCAGGACCTGCCCACATGCAGCTTATACTCTAACAAGGAAGCAGATCAGAGACCCATCATCCAAGGCAGGTTGGAATACATGCGACAAGGCAAGTGTAGGTAAAGCACTCTTGAGATTCAAAAGATGAGAAAAGCCAGCATCTGGTTGTGGGGCTCCCAAAGACCGGATAATGGAGGTGACACTGAAGCTGGGCTCGGGTAAGACTTCAGAACGTGATGGCATCTCAGCAGGCAGAGAGGGGCAGGACCACACACCGGGAAAAGTCGGAGGAGACATGAGCTCCAGCTTGTCTCGGGAGCAGTCTGGCTTGGGTGGAACTTGAATGTAAGTAGTGGAAGATAAGGTCAGACGGGCCAGCATCCTGGTACAAGCCACCATCAGCTGTGTCCACTAGACAGGCTCCGAGCTAGTCTCTCCTTCCTGCCTTTCAGCCTTACAGTCTGTTCCCTGCCCAGTATTCACAGTAATCCTGTTACTCTGTTAATACTCTGAAACCTTCCCATCTTAAGAGGGAGTCCTTAGGGTGATCTAGAAGCCCCCTCCCCCCGACTCCCTACCTTTCTAACCCCTTTCCAATCCTCATATCAGTCTTGTCCTCACCTCAGGGTCTTGTACCTGCTATCCCTCTGTCTAGAATATTCTTACCCCAGAATCCACATGGTGTACTTTATTTCACATATACTTTTCTGGGATTTTCCAAAGCATGTGTAATTTATATTTAGAAATACATAGATTTGTATTATACATAGTGGTTTTGTAATCTCTTTCACCCCACAATTTATCATAAACATACTTATAGGTCCGTCTATATGTCTGCAACACCATGTTGAGTGGCTGCAAATCATTCCGTCGTATGGATGCACCGTAACTTAGTCATAACCAGTTTCCTACTGGACTGTTCCCATCTACTTCATGTGCATGTGATTGTAAATAATACTGATGGGCATCTTTGAGGCTAAATTTTGTGCACACAGTTATTTCCTTACGGTAAATACCCGAAAGTGTAATTGCTCGGTCACAGAGAGTAAACATTATTTCATTCCATTACAAATACTTATTGTGCCTCTACTAAGTGCCAAGCAGTTAGAGGTACTGTTTTTGATAATATTGTCAGGTAGACTTCCAGAAAGCTGAATGCCCACCCATAGTATTAGCATAGATTGATAAAGAAAAACGACCCAATAACATAGTCTTGTTTGGGTCTTGTTAGTTTAATTCAACTTTCTTTAGCAATCTCCAGAAGCCCCGAATTTAGTTGAGTTAGATCTCAATGTGGAAGAAATGGCAATGTGTAAATTATAAGTCAGTAAGGGGGGTATGAAATTCTCTGTAATAGTACAAATATTAAAGTTGTTGACCACAATATTTGGATAGACACGCAGGTGAATCCAGAAAACAGATGATGGACTGGGAAAATCAGGAGAGGTTGGACAGGTGCAGGAGGGTTCATGGGTATGGGAGGGGTTGATGGGTACAGGAGGGTTGGACAGGTATGGTTGGGGTTGTTGGCTACAGGGGGTGATGGGTGCGAGGGCGGTGATGGGTATGGGAGGGATTGATGGGTATGGCAGGGGTTGATGGGTGCTGGGGGATTGATGGGTACAGAAGGATTGGATTGGTAAGGGGGGGGTTGATGGGTGCCGGAGGGTTTGACAGGTAAGGGAGGGGTTGATGGGTACTGGAGGGGTTGATGGGTGCAAGAGAGTTGGACAGGTAATGGGAGGGGTTAATGGGTGCTGGAGGGGTTGATGGGTAGAGATAGAATGTCGAGAGGCTGAGGCTACAAAACAGCTTTTGTGAATTTGAGATCCAAAGGCCAGAGTCATTTTGAACAATGACAAAGTCCAGGAGAGTACACCTGTGCTGATGGATGGAGGTGTGGTCTCTGCTTCCGGAAGGTAGAGGGGTCCTGTAAGGCCAGGTCCTTGGAGGGTTTTCACTGAAGGTGCTGGAAGTGTTGATCAACTGGACTCTTAGAATGAGTTTCGGAAGTAGTTTTTAGCACCTTTCAGAAAATGAGCAAAACATCCCAGGATGTGAGATTTATTTAGAAGAAAAACTTTGCAAAGTCATGGCCTATCGTCAGTATAGGTTAATGCCAACTTCTATCTTCTGCAGCTGTGGATTTTCAAATAGCGAGAGTTCGTTTTTTAAATGATGTAATTATCTTTTGTATATACTCTTAAAGGTCCTTTCTGTTATCAAATTCTGTTATCAAAAGGTCTGACTTTCTGGAGTGATGAAAACTTTCCACATCTTGACCTGGGTGATTAGTTACGTGTGTGTGTGTATGTATATATATATATATATATATATATATAT